ACAACAACAGCCACCTGTAGTGATTCTCAAACAAGCATATTTTGATGAGACAATTCCCAGTAGAGGAGGAAGGAAAGGTTACAGACTCTGTTGGTGCACTCAGGACCGTACTGTACCTATCTGGTAGTCCACTCATCCATCCATATTTCCACAATTTGGATGCAAAGATGTTGCAGGAAATGTGTTGAAAATCTTGTTGAAGTTAACATAAAATGCTATCACCTGGCCTATCACAGAAGGCAGTTAGACTTCAATCTGTTACAGCTCTCAGACCATAGGGCCATAGCATAACTTCACCATCAATGAAATGCATACCTTTTGCTGGGAATTCTATACATACCAGAGAGCAAACTGCTCCATGAATAAGCATGCATATTGCAAGTGGTGAACTCTAGACAGTGAGCATCTTGATCCCTCAAAAGGAATGAGCTCAACACACTAGTGAGTACAGGTGCCTACAACAAGAAGTATTGATGCAGAGCATATTCAAACTTCCAGCTTACTTAACCACTAAGGCAAGTGAACCTTTTTTCCCCTCAGTCTTCACAGGACAGAGTCAAAGGCTTCAACAGATAGGCAACATGAATGTGAAGTCCAACCTTAGCACTGCACGGGGCTTTAAATGTTCCTTCTGCATTAGCTGTCAGCTAGACTTTATTGATAGCTGCAAGTATTGAGACCATCATGACTTCTGGCATTAGAATAGTGGGACCACAGCCATTTTAGCATCCTTGTTGATCTTTTGCCATAAATAACTATTTCATTCATGCTTCAATTTAATCTCATGCTTCATTCTTTAACAAATACATTTGCTTGTTCTTAAACCTCTTTAAAAGTTACTTGCTGATTTTTCTGAATGTATGTATCCAGATAATCACTGAATAATGTAATGAGATAAAAGAAAGCAAATAGGACATTTGTAACTCTTTGCCAATACAGCAAAAGGAAAATAGAGTATAGAGAGCATAATCTGAAAAAGAAAAAAGCAGGCAATTAGAGTTAYATATTCTGAAATGTTTGTGCATCCTTTTGGAGACAAAGCATGTATGTAAGTATGTGCATACTTACAAAACATMTACAAATGCAAACATACATATGAAGGTAGAAACAATGAATTTCCATTTAAGAGAAAAACATTCAAGAATTCAAGCCCAGACTAAAAAAAAAAATTAGAGGCCTTTTAAAGAGGCTTTTCAGAAGCTCCGGAGCTTTTGAAAGCTGGGTTTARTAGACAGTAATTTCCAATTTCTTAGATAATATGTAGGACCATACTACTGATTAGCCTTCAAAAGATGCTCTCCTTAGAAAAAATATGTGTTTAATTTCTTTAATAGTTAATATTAGGTCCCTAATTTTCTGTTTTTCACAATCAGTACCTCTTGGTTAATTGTGACCTGGCCTCAGTATTTATTTTTGAATGCTGAGAATAAGCAGGGGTAGGTCCTGTTAAAAAAAAAAAAAACACAAAAACAACAACAAAACAAACAAACAAACAAACAAAAAAAACAGAAGAGCCTCATATTTGGGGAATTGGTTTCTCCAGTGGTGAAAAGTTATATCATTTTAATTCCTACATTTTTAAAGTGATGCCTGGGGTTTTTAATCTTGACTCTCCCTTTGACATTAATGGGACTCATGTTGCTGAAATGAGCCCAATGCTTTGATAATTGAAAGGGATCATATATGATAGAATCATGGGTATTTGAAAGGTAAAATACCTGTTTCTCTAAGAGATCCTGCCAGTTTTTCTTTTAATTCTGGAAATGAAGGTATTTACACTTCACTTATTAATGTATTGTTCAGCCCATCTATTAATGAGTCAGAATAACCACCTGCATCCCTTTKGCTGGAAGATTGTTGCACAAAATAAATAGGCTTTGTCAAGTGAAAGTGCCTTTTCCTAATCTCATTCCATCACTTGCTATTCTTTTTGTGACCCATAAGTATGACCCATGTATTTTACACCATTCTGGATATTTTCAGAACATTACCCTGCTTCCCCTTAGGCCCTGTTAGTTGATTTATATGGATTCAATTGTTTTAATCTACTGACTTTATAACTCAAGCCTTAAAGTCCCCATGGGCATTTTGGCTATTTCTTTTCCCCTGAACTCTCTAGGCTCTTGGGGTTCTTTTATAGACACAACAAGAAAAATCTTTTAACTCTGCCTGCTACAGAGGAATCCATTAGAAATGCTAGGTGGAGTAAGACGGTGTCACAGAGGGGATCTAAAGAGATCATGTTGGGGCATGGAGAAGTATTTATTCCTTCTTTGTAGGAAGAGCAGGTAATCCATGGGAGGAGAGCGCATATGCTTCCTCCAAAGAATATTTTTTCCCCCAGGAACAGTTCAGAAAGGGACATCAAATTTTTTGGATATAAAAAAGTTTCTGTCCCCTTCARAGTCCATTACTGTTTACTAAAAAAGGATGTAACCGAGAAACAAGGTCTTTTAACTAAAAAATTACCTGTGTTGTTTGTTTTATCAGTTCACTCTGTTCTTACCCCATTTAATGTAAGGGCACAACAATTTCTCATCAGTAACACAAAACATCATTACACCTATTTACTCTCCCTATTCATCCTCAGAAATAATTTTGTACATATTTAAGTGAGAAGAAGGAAGACAAATGAAGATAATACACACTTTTATGATATGTACAAGGCAAAACAAAGGCAATTTACTGCAGTAACGTTTCTACTGTTCACACTGTAGAAAACACAAAAGGAACTTAAGAGAACAAAAAAAATGATCAAAACTTGAGCATGCATTTTTAAAGCATAGCAAACCTATCTAAGGAATTTAATTGGGTAAAATAACCAGTAAAAGTATAGTTGAGGTTGCCACTAACAAATCATTTAAACTTCAAAATTAAAACTTTCACTCTTAACTTTCATTTTTTTTTTTCCTGCACCCCATGTAGGTTGCTGCTTTATCCTGTTTTCATCAAAAGGCCACAGTAATATCTGAAATATCCTGACAGYTTGTGGAAACTCAAATGGAGACATCTTGTGTGACAATATGTTGAGAGTTGTTATGCATTTATCCTAGTTAATTATTAAGCAGTCCAACAGTCCTATGAGACTTAAAAACATTCAGAGCATTGTGAAAATTTTCCTGATGCCTTAGGAGTAGAAACTGAGAAATAAGGACTTTTACCATCATATCATCTTAAGCATCACTCTTTACGGTCAAGCTCCCTCTTGCCATTTTCCCATGAAATTTGATGGCTGAGCATTGACCAACATTTATCAATAGGCATTTTCATTTAGAAGTACTATGAATTGCCTAAGATGAAAACTTYATTACCTCTTTTACAATAAAAAGGTAGATTCCAGCTTTTGGTATATTATCTGAAACAGAGAGCTCTACACACCTTGAACTTCTGCATGGACAGAAATGCAGAAATTCACAATTCTAAGTATTTCCWTTATCTAATTCTAATCAATACTCCAATCAGCATGCAAGTGCTTGTGGATCACTCAAGTAATTCATATCACTTTCTTTTCATTAGTCAGCCAATGGAAATACTTTTCTCTCATTCACTGAGAAGTGACTTAGGTGTTCTTTGCAACCAAGTTAACAGACAAAGTGCATATTATGTTTGTATCCCCAAGTAGGATGCTACAACAATTCATGTAGATTTTAGCCTAAGTAACTGGGTACAGCCAGACGAGAGGATAGATATGGAATTCTGGTTAGAATCAAGCCATTCTGATTTCAAGTTCTCCGTTACTTCACCATCAAGAGCAAGATGGCTCTRGTACTCCAATGTGAGAACCTCAACGTGCACAATACTTCTACAGCAACCTCAATGCAATATTTTTTCGGAGGTGTTGAGGCTTGTACATTAAATATGGGGCTGTGAACACCTCCAGTACTGAAGCTTTAGCTCAGAAAAATAATAGTGTTAAAACATCAAGCTCTTTCTCCTGAGTTTTCATGGTCTATTTCTCCGCTTGCAGCAAAATTGAAAAAAAAATGTATTTACTTCTTAAATGTTTACCTAATACAATATGAAGTGATGACCTAAGTGATCTTTACAGCCCATAGACCATAAAAAATATGAATGAGCTCTCTTTATTTCTTCAGAGCCAATGACTGCAGCAAACTATATTTATCCTGCTCTTACACCAAGAATAACGTTTGTACAATTACTATCTTTCCCAGATGTCAGTTTTTGACTTAACTTCAATCTTTCCTCCTTCTGCCAGTATTAATGTCTTTCRCTTTGAAGTTATTAGATAATGTCTTCTTACATTTATTCCTAGAAAAGTGCACAAGACCTAGATTATACTCACAGGAAATACAGTATTCCTCTGCCTGTTAGAACATCCCATCTGCGCAGTAACCCAAAGGGACGATAGACAAACACAACAATGAGCRCTCACTTCAGGCCAAACTCATAGATGTAAAGGAGAAAACATCCCTTTTGAGCCGCACAGTGGCTCTTTCTGCAGTGTAATCTCAGTTCCATATTTAATGCTGGTGATGAAATGTGAACATAGAGAATCCACCTGTGGGCTCAAGGTCTGTCTCCCCTACTCAAGAAGCTGACTTCTTTACAGACCCATAATGTCTCAACCAATATTTCAAATGTAACAGTATTTTCTCTTTTACATACTGCTTGCTCTGTCCCATCTGACACAACCTAACATTTTCTTCCACATTCTTATGCTGCATCCACCTTATAAAGCCTAAGTTCTCCAAGAATCTATAGTGTATTTCACAACACAAGAGTCAAATCGSTTTACCTTTTGAGAGGCTGATGGTTCAGAGATGCGAGAGCTCAACATGCTCTCACCAGGTTTAATATTCCATACAGAGAGTGTAGTGTTTAATATCAGGCAATACTACCTAAGTTTAGCAGAGGGATTTAGCAATATACTGAAAACACAAGTTTAAGCTGCACTAAAGGAAGATATAGCCATTGCAATATACAGTCCAATAACAATAAAAAAGTGTGATTCTCATTACTGGTCTCTACAATATGCTTACCTTCATCATACTGAGAAGAAACTTGTGGATTGATGCTAGCTCAAGTCCACTATTTTCTTCAAAATCCTTTTTGCTAGATGTCTACTTTTCATACCCTGCCACAAGCTGCACTCTACATACACATCCTCTGCACTGGTCTGTCTGRTTCCAAAAGACGTTAATGCTCTTCTGAGGAGCCCAGGAAGATATATTTACCCAACTGGAGGATCCACATAACACAAAACAAAGAAAAGTACTTGTAATATAGCTTTCAAGCCAAACTGAATGCTTCTTGACATGTTTTTTATACCCTTGTGGGTGGAAGAGCAGGAGGTGGAGCACTACTCTCACACAGATGCATTGATTTTGGGGTGAGGGGAAAGGAAGGAGAAATGTAGAAACTGGGAGAAGGTGCTTAAGGTAAGCCTTGGAATGGAGGAGGAAAGGTGTTTCCCTAAATAGTTAAATAGCTCTGTTTTTGTTGTTCTTTTTTTTTCTTTTATTGCCTCAATCAAGAAGTACAAGGTTATGTTAAGTGATAAACATAGGCTAGTGATAAACTAAAGAAGGTAGAATGCCCTGAGTTGAGATTTTATTTTTTTTGGCCTATGACACCAGATCCACCTCAATGTTGTTCCTGATAGGCTTAAAAAGTCCTTACTACCCCTGGAGTGGAGAGAGGGAGCTGTAGTATGGTTTCTGTAGCAGTTATAGCAAGCAGTTATCTTTTGCTTGACTCCTGTAAATAATTGSTTTTGGTTTTTTAAAAAATTCACTTCTTTTTCTAAATCTTCTGATTTTGTAACTTTTCTCACTCTCTGCTCTTAGCTTTCAAGTGTCTTCTCAGAAAAGGCAGCCACTTCTAATGAGCAACAAACTTTTTTCTTTTTTTTTAATAAATTTATACTATATGCCCACAATATGATGGGTGCTTTGCTTTGGGTTTGTGATGAGAATCCATTACCAAGAGAAAAAAATACAGTGCACTTGAAAAGCATTTTTTTCCCTTTCACGGCTGATCCTTTGATCTCCCCTTCTTCTCATGTTTCTGTTTCCTTTCTGTTTCTTTTTTTTTTTTTTCTCCCCTTTTCTTTTTTTCTTTTTTTTCCCCTTCCCCTTTCAACTTGAGTTATGAATGAAGCATACTAATATGACAAAGCCTGGTCAAACTTGAAATTCCTATTCAAAAACCCAGAACAGGCATATAAACCTATTTAAGCTTATGAGTTGTAGGAAATCTGTCTAAAGTAATTTTTTTTGTGAGRCAGGAATTTTGTTCTGTGGTCACTAACAGGTCAAATAACTTAGAAACCATGCTCTGTATTTCAATACAAGTCTCTGAGAATTGATACAAGTGTCTTTATCTGGCATTATTTAAATGCATTCACTTTTTCGACAAGAGTGTTAGTAAATACATCTCACTTTAAAATGGTCTGATACTTTGCAATTAAAATAGCTRTATGAAGAAGGTGAGACTTATCTCACCTGAACACATATTATTTCATGGCAGTTCTACTGAGACAGCTTACTCTGTATGCATGTACACATATATATTTTATATATATATAGTGATGCAGCTACATAAGAACCTGTATAATTTTAGAGACTACCCTTTCAAAATGGAAATACAGAACAAACTTGCAAATCTATTTTATTTCTTTGATTTTACTAGATTTGAGAAATTATTCTAAAACATATTCAGATTCTGTGTTCTTGTTGGAAGAATTCTAAGGCTGATTTAGGTGTTGTTAGAGCTTTAAAGACAGAACTAAACAAAATTTGCAGGAAATGGCTATAGCACATCACTCGATGTACAATTTAAATTTGGAAATGCTTGTTTATGCCAAAGATGCTGGTTACAAAGGAAGAAACAAGGCAGATACTAAAAAGTATTTAACACCGTACACTCATGTGCCTYATTAAGGTTATGTCTCAAAGACAAGGCTGACTGACAGGAAACTGTGAGCAGCTGAAGTAGCTGGACGCAAAACCATTTCAGTTGAGAGGTTTATACAGTGTTCAGCCACAGTTTATATAACCTATTTCTCAAAAGGATTTAATATGTCAGGTTTTACCAGATAATAATGTGACTGACCAAAAGCTCCTTGAATCACATGGATTCTAAGCACAGAGAAAGCCTGCTTCAGCTTGCCTCTACTATCCATGTGCCCTTAAAACTTTCAAAAAGACTTCTCATATCCCATATTGTTGTAGCTTCTTGTTGGGATCTGAGGCCCAAAACCCACTTTCTAATCAATTACTTAACACTGCTCCTCCTCTTCCTGTCTCAAAGTATTTCAGCTCCACAGCAACCTAATAATATTCTTCCTTGACAAACTGAGGGAAGGACTGGTACAAAAGCATWTATGAGAAAAAATGCTGTATGCTTTCAAGAGTTTGATGAGATGTGTATATCAGAAATYCCTTTTCCACTTTCCTGGATGTCTTTCCTGACAATCTAGTTACTGAATTCACGCACTCTGTACTTACAATAAACAAAACATCAGAGTAATCAAATCAAAGAATAATATTTATAAATTAGTCATAGAAACTTTAAATCCATCTCACTCAGAGTTATTGGATGAATAGTTTATGTAAATACTCTGCAGCTCTTGGAGAATTCATACATTATTACTGACTGCTATTGTCTGAATATTCTCTTTATTAGTAATTTAATATCAACACTAATTGTCCACTTAGACCACTTATTGTTGTTTCTGCTTCTTAAATGGATAACAAAGGGAAAAATGCAAGTGTGCTGTGAGATAGCAGTCAGATTTTTATTAGTATTCGCTAAATAATAGCTAGGGTATTCCTTTCAACCAAAGTATCTAGCTATTTAATCTACTATGGAAAGTCAAGACCATGGCAAGAAGGGGTCACAAGGGAACCTGAATGAGTCAGAGCTAGTAAGTTCAGTTAAACCAAGATTATCATTTGAGCATCTCAGCATTAGTTTTTCCTCTGTTTTAAGTTATGGGGTGGTTGATCTGCGGTGTTGGATTCCGGATGGTGGTAATCCCAGAAAAACTGTGTTCTTTTCTTATAATACAATTCTTATTGTATTCTTATAATACAACCAGGAGACTAAGGAGTGCAGTGCTAAGATTTCTGAATGTCAGCATAGGGGGTGCAGGGAGACCCTTGAGCTGTCAGTCATGTTGGTGTTTTTTTTCTTTTCTAGTTTCTTCTTTTTTTTTTTTAGAACTAGACTAGAGTCTAGTTCTCTCTATTACACTCCTTCTACTTAAAGTTCTGGATATATGGTGACAGGAAGAAAAACCTTCTCTGAATGCACCTTTCTTGAAGAATTTATGACTCTAAATTCCCTGCTGCATAACAGTAAGTAAATTGAATCTCTGGATGTTAAGGTTTTCCATACTGTGACTGATGCTTTTCATTGACCCTGTATTCTCTTTGAAAAAATAAGATTACATTCTTTGTCAAAAGAGTTGATATTCTCTTTTGCTTTGCCTTCTCTTCTATTTTTACAGAGAGATTATAAGAATTGGCATTGGGCATTTTGTGTTTATAAGTATTTTTTAAAAAAAATCTATAAATATATGTCTTATACTCTATATGCTGACAGGATTTCCAATTGCAAAGCATTAGGTATTAAAAAAAAAATAAGGCAAAGGTACATTTCACATGAAGACACAATTTAGGATTTTCTTTCTTACTCCTCATATTTTTAGTGTAGATGTATGATAATAAATAATTCACAAGGTAATTAATAAATAAAACTATGTTGTTAAAAAAAAAAGGGAGAGGAAGAGAACAAGATTCATATATTGGCTTGGAACACAATTCTGGAACTCTGACTAAGAGATATTTCACTATGAAATTCTCTCTTCAACTTTGCAAACATTCTCTTGTTCAACTTTAGCACATTACAAGACTAAGCTGAATGGAAATTTATGGGGTTTGTTGTAATATGAACCATCATGATCAGAACAAGAGCGAGCTAGTTTTTCTGTTGTAACTGTGGTTAGACTAGATGTGTTGAATCTGGAGACTGAAGAAATCGCTTGAATTTGGAATTGTGGAGAAAATAGSTAGAGATATTAAATCCTCCATGTGAGTATGTGAGTCCTCCTTGAGGCAGAATGATATGACCCAAGATCATTCAGTTACTAAATACAATGTATTTAGATATGTCCCCCCTGCAGTACTCAAGGAGTTAACATTATTGAGACATACACGTATCCACTGGAAGGAAAATAATCCTTTGCACCACATAATTTTATATTTGTTTTCATTTGTAATTGTAAGTTTGAACTGATAATTGTTTAATTAGGTAAATTGACTTTTTAATTTATTTTTTCAAAATTCAATAATGTTTGACATATTTTATCTGAAATAATGAACTCATACTGTGATAATAATCATGATAGAATGAATAGAAAAAACATTTGAAAGATTCCTGTTATCTGGCAAAAAGTTCCATCCAGTGAATGTAAACTTAATTGCAATATATTTCCTTAATGATCTGCCCCAATTGGGACTCAAAAGACACCCTAATTGGGTGTCTTTTGAATGTTGCCTTCCTTTGACAAAGTGGTTGTAGTCTGCAGTATCTGAAGCACCTTTAAATGATTAGGTTTATGTATAAGTAATGATTTTTCTGAATATTTAATCAAGACTTGAAGAAAAAGACTGGCAGGAAATCATAAAAATTAGCAATGGAAATGACCTGTTGGATCATCAGTTTTTTTTTTTTTTTTCCTTCCCTTCCAGTCACAGAAAAGTGTAGGTGGTTTCTCTACAGTGCATTTTGTAGCACATTGTCCATTCTTTAGAATTTGAACATTTGGGGGTTGAAAGGGCAGCTAAAATACAGATGGGGTATTGGAACCATGTTTTCTTCAGTTACACTACAGTAACTTAAAAGTCTAATCAGCAAAAAAATCAATGTATTTTTTCCCAGGTTCTATACAGTTGAAAATTAGGGTGCAAATACCTGGCAAAATCACCAGTGCTCTGAATCATCCTTTTGTTGTATCTCTTTTCTCTCACAAAGTGAACTGCCAGTAATTTCTTTTCTAAATTACATTTGCTGTTCTYATGTAAATTTATAAATACTTCTGCTGATCATTCAC